TTCTCTGCCCCCCAGCCTGCTCCTGCTTGCCACATCCAACGTCAGATGAATACTCACACTCTGCAGCTCTGGGATAAGCTTCTCTGTAAATTTCTTAAGTTTTGCCATTGTGTTTAAATGTTCCTGGAAAAAACTGAGAGGAGAGGCTAACGTAAGGGCATGTCCTGAAATCCTGCTCTTAGCACTGGCTGTGAAGCCTACAGATGCCAGGCTCCCCTGAGCTCCTGCCTCAGAGCCCATCATGCCTTCAGCAGACAGCACTTTCCCTTCATAATTGAAAAAAAAATCTTTCTTAGGAAATGTATTTTAGAAAGATTTGGAGGCAGTTAAATTCAGGGAGAGTGCTCAGCACTCTGTCTTCTTTGCATCCCAGATTTCTGCTTTACACTGGCTTATGAAAACATCAGACTAAAGGGAGGAAACACACTCCTTGCCTCCAGAAGAGGACTTTTGGCAAGTTACAGGACAGGCCAAGCCAACTGCAGGAACCCAGGTCCTGCAAGTTAAGCCACCCCCAGGTCCCCTCAACAACCAGTGGTTCTGGAGAGAAAGGGCGTGCAGGCAGGTTACCGGTCGCTCTTACTTGAACTGTGAGCTGCAGTGCTTGATGTGGTTTTGCAGCAGGTCAATCCCTTTCTTGGTTTTGATCTCATTCACTTTGATTAGATACTGAAGGGAAAGGGACACAGGGACTGAATTTGTAGCTTAGAGAGAAATGCCTTTTATGCACTTTTTGATGGCCCCCCCCTCCCAGTGTGTTGTGGCCCATCCTGGCAGTTATGCCCTGATGGGAGCAGCTCATGTGGCTTTTATGGTGTGAGAAGATGGTGGTAAGCAGGGCCCAGTGCTTTGATTTGGCCAACAGAGTGGTGGACCCATGGTGGTGGCATGGACCCTGGGCTTGCTGGGCTTTACTTATGCAGGGCAAACACTCAATTAATACACCCTCAAAGATTCATCATTCATGGTGCCTTCACTGAAGAATGGCCAGCTTTCCTATAGACCTTCAAACCTCATTGCTCAAGAGCCAAGTTCCTCTAAGACCCACCAGACTTGATCCGTGAACTGCACCACCTCCACCTGACCCTACCGACAATGTCAGTGCTGTGAGCCTGCCTATGTCCTACACGCAGCTGGCATCTCAGCCTGCCTTGAGGACCTTCAGAAGCGAGCTGAAGGTTCAGGTTTCCAGCCCAAAGTTATCTGCCACCTCACCCAGCCCATCCTCCAACATAACAATCTCACCAGTGAAAACCAATACTGGCCTTTTCAGTCAGTGGACTGACAATGTGAAACAGTGTGTTGTGCTGTGAAACACGTTGAGTATTTCTCCATCCATATCTGGACTACTCCTACACCAGCATCAGCTCTCTTGACATTGCAACTACTGTAAAATCAGCAACCTACTAACAACCATTTCCAGAAGACCCCCAGGCCAACATAGTAAATCACCTTCCAAAATACATGTTCAACATGGCTAACCTCAGACTTCCCTGTATTTATTCTGAGGGGATCATTCAAAACACCCTCGATCCATCAGAAGAAGTGTTTCCTAGAAGACACCCTCTCAGGAACCCGAATGCCACGTGTGGACTCACATCAGCACAGAACAAAACCTCCATCTGACCTACTGGCTCTGTTTAAGGACAATGCAGCTCCATAGCACAAGGGCTTCTGATATTTGAAGTAGAACAACAGTTTCAGTACGGAAACAGTAACTGTTTCCAAAACACAGTTACAAAGAGCTGGATATTTTGAATGAAATCCGTACCTTCCAATCTTTTACTCATGCTGTTGCTTGTGACAGTGGCAGTGGGAGCAGGAAATCCTGTTTGCAGGGGAGTTGGGCTGAGTTTATCCCAACAAGCAGAGGGAGGGCTATGGTGGGACCATCTGAGAGGGAGCAGGGACCTCAGTGCCAGCAGTGCCCACTGTGGGCAGCTGGGAAGAAGCTTGGATCCAAAGCCTTCGTGGGATTTTTCCCAAGTTGTTATCTCTACTGCCAAGTAGAGATAACAACTCTCTATATAGGCTCAAGATTTGGCTAAACTCCTTAACCAGCCCCTATCCCAGGTTGGCTTGAGCTTACCACAACCCAGGCAGCTCTCCAACTGCGGGAATATGCCCAGGGTCTCACTGGCACAATGGACATGACCTGCTGAGCAATGGTCCCTGGGGATCTGCAGCCCACCTCAGTGCTGCTCCCCAGGGGCCAAGCAAAGGGAGCTACCAGATGCTGCTGGTGCCCGGGGCAGAGCCTGGGGGACTTTAGCAACCCAGGAAGGCAGAAAGGGACCTGCAATACCCTGGACACAAGCATCACTCACTGACCGGGGACAGAAGATGGCCCTAAATGAAAAATAAGCGTGGATTCAGACAAAAAAGCTGCTTTGAAACAATCCCAAGTTGGAGGGCAAGTGAGAAACACCAGCGTGAGAGTCACTGCTGATGACTGCACACTCCAGACTGGGCTCTGCCAGGGCTGTGGCACAGTTGCTGTGCACCAATGGAAGGGAAATTCATCCCTTGGATGCTGATTCAGCAACTCTAACACTGCTCCATGTGGCACAGGCTGGTCCCTGTCCTTACCTCACACATGTTCAACTGGAAGGTCCTGCGCTCCTTCTCCATCTCCTCGGCCATCTCCCCCCCGCTCACCTCGCCCCGCACCATGCTGTGTTGCTTTGCCAGCTCACGCTTCTCCTTCTCAATCTTGGCGCTCAAGGAAAGAGTAGACATGCATGAAAGGCTCCGTCTGACTGCTTGCTGGTGAAGGCAGACAAAAACTAGCCTCCAAGTCCAGGCCTCGGGGTGAGGGAGCCTAAGACTTACAGTTTGCTCTCATAGTCTTTGCAGGCCTTCTCAAAGGGCTTCTTGAACTCCTAGGAAGAGCCAAAGGCACCATTTAATGACTACAACCATGACAGAGCCTTCCTCATCCTCAGGATACTGCGTTTCCACTGCGTCACCCTAGCATAAAGGCCCTTGCAGACCCAGGACATGGCTGTCCACAGGAGTGTCCCTCCCCAGAAAGGTCCTTGCCTTTCCTCAGTGCACTGCAGACAAGTGTGCTCAGCAGTGCAGGTTCACTCACGGGCCCGTGCTTGCACACACACGCAAATACACTTAGGCTCCAAAACATACATCACGCACATGTACATCACATAGCAGTACCCAGCTATAACATCTTTCACAGACTCACAATTTTAAGGGCAGAAGGAATTGCTCAGACATGCACAAACCAGAAAGTGCGACCCAGATTCTCACCTGCTGAAGCCAGAATGTCATGCTTAACCAAAGCAAACCAAACCAATGTCATGCTTAACCAAACACCACTCAGAGAGACATCAGAAACCCACCCAAACCTGGCAGCATCAGCACAATCTGATTCTTCCCCAGGTATTCATTTAATGGTGAATTACTCTTGCTGCTAAAAAGCCATCATTTGTTTCTCATTTGACTGTGTGACTTTAGCTTCTCTCCAGCAGTTACCATCTTGATAAGTTCATCTGCAATTTGTCCATTAAATGCATTTACTCAGATCACCCATGTTCTGCCCTGTTCTCACCACTTACTGCTCTGCAAACCCCTGTGTCAAAGACAGAGTAAATCAGGTTGGAGGGGACTTCGGCAGGTCTCTAGTCTAATCTCCCACTCAAGGCAGGGACAGCACTGAATTCAGACCAGGCTTTGTGCAGGCAGATGTTGGAAAAAACCCAAGGATGGAGACCCACAGCCTCTCTGGGTCCCTGTCCCAATGCCCCTCCATCCCCCAAGGTGAAATTTATTTATTTATGTCAAGGCAGAATCTTGTCGGGACAGATTTATCTTGCATTTATCTCCATTCTAATGAAAATGTCAAACTGATTCAGGTCAGCCTCTGATTCCTGTTGGATCCCTTCAGCTTAATCATGACTCCTTGCAGGCAGCTGTTTTTTTCTTCTCTCTCTGCCTATTTTCTTGGTTCCCAATCTTCTTGATATTGTCCATAACAATGCAAATAGTGGATTTTTTTTCTTATTATTTTATATTCTCTTATCAATTTACTTCACACCAGCAGTTCCAGAATTTGCTCTCTCCTTCCACTTTCATGCCCCTGTATAGCACAAGCTTCCACATGGATGCCTAATTGCTTGTAATTAGTTTCAGAATTAGTCCTTTGGAAGTCCCCAAGCCCTGCCACAGTTCCCATTCCTCTTTCTGCAATCCTGTCCAAAACTTTTCCTCCACTTTCCCAGAGGTTCAGCTGTTTGCTCAAGGATCCCCAGCCCAGCTCTGATACAGCTCAGCTGCAAAACCTTCATCAAGCATCTGAGGAAACTGCAGAGCTGGGAGAAAAAGCTGGGAGAAAATCTATAGAGTGGAACCATACAAGATTAAAAAGGTAAAATTAGAGTTTAGGTTGTTGAAACAGGTTCGTTACTAGCTCAAGGATTCAAGAGGAAAAATAGTATCATGGAAAAATATAAAATCCCAAATGAAGAAAACACAGGGGGTTTGTCAGAGTATCAGCAGGTCTTGTGGAAGACAGCAATGACCAATAGCAAGAATCTGTTGCAGGGAGCAGGAGCACTGTCCCTGCTCCTCCCGAGCTGGTCTGCCCAGCCAGCACAAGTCCTCAGCTGTCTCATCATGGTGCTGAGTGTATTAATGCCAAGCTCATTAAATCCTAACAACCTTGTGTGTGCATCAGCTGATAAATAATTGCTTTACTGTTTCAAGTTTTACATACCCTGCTCATGGAGTCTCTGTGCCCAAAACTACCCAGAGAGAAAAGATGCCAGGTCACAACTGGCAGCTGCTGCACCACATTAGATGCAGGCTATGATCAGCAATCCCTCGACAGTGACCTCGCTCCAGCGTCGCGATCGGGACTGGTCCAGCTTCCTCACCCCAAACTCCCACAGGCAAGGGCACCCCTATGCAGGCAGAGGCACCCAGGGCAATTGCGCAGAGCTGATGGCCTGAGCACTGCCACGGGGACTTAGTGGTAGGAATGTGCATGCAGACTTACCAAGGACCATGATGACCTTCCCATTGGTTAAAAAAAGCAAAAATTAAATACAAGTTTGATGCTTTTCCTAAAATCTACACTGATAAGCGCTGTGAAGCTCTCCGATATCTCTACAGTGCTGAAGATCAAATTGCATGGTCACTTCAGTACTTGCTATTCTGCAGTCCCTGAGAGGTACCTGCAGCTGGTAGATACACACATGCACGCTCAGATTCATACCAACACGCATGTGCTCATACACGTAAATGAAAGAGCCACAGGTGGGTCTGCGGGGGTGGGGTAGACCTCACTGGGAGGTTGTGGGGGAGTTTGTGCACTGATGGCCAGGGAAGATATCAATATTTGTTGGCACAACATCCTGATTTTTCCCTGCATAGCAAATACCACCAGACTCCTCCAGATTCAGCCAGGTCAGGCAAACAGGCTGAGGTCCCAGCTAAGGGGCATCTCTAGCTTGACTTGTGGTGTGAGGTGCCAGCCTCAGGAGAGAGCAGGATCCAGCACACAGGAGGTGCAGGCAGACCTGCCCTTCCAACATGTATCCCTGCCAGAGGACAAGACGTGAGCCAGGGATGAGACCCCACAGCTGGTACCCGCTCTGTCTCCAGCAATTCGCTTACCAGCCCCACCGTGGCACAGCCCTTTCAGCCCCTGCTTACCCCTTTGAGCAATTTCATGTCATCCTTTATTAATGACTCCAGGGAAAAGTTAATGTTGTGGTACAAACTCTGCCACTGGAAAGGAAAGAGAGAGATCATGCTACTAGCACTGCACCCCTGCACTGCTCCTCATGCAGAGAAAGCAGAGCTGTTTGTGAGCCTGCAGAGGAACCACTTTGGAAACCAATCAGCTGAAAGCCTCCATCCTTGGAAATTACCAAGCTGGAAAAAGCCACAGCCAGCCTGACCCAGTGTTGGTGAAAGCCCAGCTTCAAGCAGGATGGTGGACAGGAGACCTACAGCAGACCTCCAGAGGCCTCTTCTGAGCAGCCTCAGAGGTCTGCACAGACGGCCCTGGCTGTGTAGGCTGCAGTACTGGCTCTGCAACCGTATGCCATGGCCTCCTGCCTCCATCTGGGGAAGGGGATGAGCTTGGACCTCCAGGCTGTGGCCCAGAGCCTGCTGCTCTTCCTGATGCCCAGAGCATCCCCCTGCAAGCCAGGGGCCCCACTCTGATGTACATGCAGGGAACAGAGCTGCCTACCAGGCTCCTGACAGCAGTCAGCAGCTCCTGGGAGAAAGCAGCAAAGGTGCTAAAGGCACTGGCCAACTGCTCCTCGCCCTCCAGCTGGTAGTTGGCTGAGAACTTCTCCTGGGCAGCGATGTAGGCTTCGAGGTAGCTGATGAGGTCTGGGAGAACATGGATAGTCTCCAGCGAGTGCAGGGGGAAGGTCAGGATGAATGCCCATCCCCTGCCTCCCTCCTGGGAGTCACCATGCCTGGTTCTGCTCATGTACCCAAGCTGGCTCCTGTTGCCTCCTGCTGCCCCCACCACTACCACCCCTCTATAGGGACCCCTGAGACCCATATTCCCTGCTGCGGTCAACCTGACCTGCAGCAAGGACTCCCCTCACCCATCCATTGCTGTCTCCCCATTCCTGAGGCTCCATTCTGCCCTGACCTTGTCCACAGCTATGCTCTGCCTTGGTTGCTTTCCTCGTCTTCTGCAGCACAGCTCGGTCGGCATCCAAGGCCTAGGAATGCAGAGGAGATGATCACTGACTACATCCATACATGCATTTCCATAACCCACAGGGCTTAGCACAAGCCTCAGCATCCCCAAGCTGGACTGTCCTGCCAGCAGATAGGTGATGATCTAGTTGTAGTAGTCCATGTATATCTTAAATATCTGCAAGCCTTCCTGATGTTCTTCTGGAAGAAGTGGTCAAGCATTAAGGGAGAATTGGAAAATATATTAGAAAAAGGAACACACAACATTGACAGAAAATGTGGATTTCAGTGGCAAGAGACTATTAGTTATAAATTATATTTCCATCGCTGTCAGTGTCATTCCTGGGCTGAGAGGAGGAGGCATAGGTGGCTGAGGGGACAAGTTTGCAGGCGTCTAAACTCTGCCTATGAGAGACTGGATTACAGATGTTACTTCATACACGTACTGCTTGGAAGGGCTTTCATGCAATCTCTTGTTGGGAGCAGGATTATTGTCAATACCAGATCAGGTTGGCTGTGCTTTACTTAGTTGGACTTTGAAACCCTCCGAAGATGGAGGTCACCTCTCTAGTGACCTCTTGCAGGGCTGCACCACCCTCTGCAGAAGAAACTTTTCCTAATGCCCAATCTGAACTTCCTGAGCCACAAAGTGGATATTGCTGCATGTTATATCATCTGATGCTGCCCAAAAGAGCTTGACACTATTGCCTATAACTGCCCTTAGATGAGTTGTGGGCTGCTGTCAGACATCCCCTCTTCACCCAGCTAAATCAGCCCAGCTTTGCTTGTCTGTTACCATCCACTGACCCTCTCTGGTTTCTCCACATCGCTCCTGACTGGGGACAGTGCTTCAGGTGTGACCCATTCACCAGACTGATGTGAGCCCCAACAGCTCCCACATCAGGCTGGCCCTGCAGGGAGTGACAGGGCTTCGCTCTGAGTGTTGTCCTGACAGTGCCAGAGCTTGAAGACAGTGCACAGGCTTTTAAGATCCATAAACACTGGATTTGTGGGAGCATATAGTTTTACAGCAATTTGGGAATGTGAAGAACAGCTCAGGGTGGACTTGCATGCTGCAGCTAAGGCTATTTAACAGCTGAGTGGGTGGGTGGGTACCCAGGGGATTGGTACCACCACTGGCTTTGTCCTCTGTTGTGCACTGCATCAGCCAAGCCACACAGCTGAACACATGTAGTAGAGGAGGACGTGAGTCAGGCTCTGCATGGGTCAGCACAGTCAAGACTGTGGCATGCAGGGACATCACCGTAAACATTTAGGTACCCAAGGAGCTGGAAACTTATCTGCCTGCATGTTTCCAGAGTTCAGTGCAGCAGGGATGTTGAGAACTTGAATTACGGACTTATACACCAAAATAGGAGTTGCCAGACTTTCTGCTCCCCAGGGAAGAGCTGCCACCCACAACTCAGCACCTGCACGTTCTTATAGAATCATAGAATCATAGAATTGTTAAGGTTGGAAGAGACCTCCAAGATCATCGAGTCCAACCGTCAACCCAACAACACCATGCCCACTAAACCATGTCCCTAAGCGCCTCATCTACCCGTCTTTTAAATACTTCCAGGGATGGTGACTCAACCACTTCCCTGGGCAGCCTGTTCCAATGTTTAACCACTCTTTCAGTAAAGAAATTTTCCCTCACATCCAATCTAAACCTCCCCTGGCGCAACTTGAGGCCATTTCCTCTCGTCCTTTCGCCAGTTACTTGGGAGAAGAGACCGACACCCACCTCGCTACAGCCTCCTTTCAGGTAGTTGTAGAGAGCGATGAGGTCTCCCCTCAGCCTCCTTTTCTCCAGGCTAAACAACCCCAGCTCCCTCAGCCACTCCTCATAAGACTTGTGCTCCAGACCCCTCACCAGCCTCGTTGCCCTTCGCTGGACACGCTCCAGCACCTCGACGTCCTTCTTGGAGTGAGGGGCCCAAAACTGAACACAGTATTCGAGGTGTGGCCTCACCAGTGCCGAGTACAGGGGCACTATCACTTCCCTACTCCTGCTGGCCACACTATTTCTGATACAGGCCAGGATGCCGTTGGCCTTCTTGGCCGCCTGGGCACACTGCCGGCTCATGTTCAGCCGGCTGTCGACCAGCACCCCCAGGTCCTTTTCCGCCAGGCAGCTTTCCAGACACTCTTCCCCAAGCCTGTAGCGCTGCATGGGGTTGTTGTGACCCAAGTGCAGGACCCGGCACTTGGCCTTGTTGAATCTCATACAGTTGGCCTCGGCCCATCGATCCAGCCTGTCCAGGTCCCTCTGCAGAGCCTTCCTACCCTCGAGCAGATCAACACTGCCGCCCAACTTGGTGTCGTCTGCAAACTGACTGAGGGTGCACTCGATCCCTTCGTCCAGATCATTGATAAAGATATTGAACAAGACCGGCCCCAAAACTGAGCCCTGGGGAACACCGCTCGTGACCGGCCGCCCACTGGATTGAACTCCGTTCACCACAACTCTCTGGGCCCGGCCGTCCAGCCAGTTTTTGACCCAGCGCAGATGCCACCTGTCTAAGCCGTGAGCCGCCAGCTTCTGGAGGAGAATGCTGTGGGAGACGGTGTCAAAGGCCTTACTGAAGTCCAGGTAGACCGCATCCACAGCCTTTCCCTCATCCACTAGACGGGTCACCTGGTCATAGAAGGAGATCAGGTTGGTCAAGCAGGACCTGCCTCTCATGAACCCGTGCTGGCTGGGCCTGATCCCCTGGTTGTCCCGCACCTGCCTTGTGAGTGCCCTCAAGATGACCCGCTCCATAATCTTCCCCGGCACCGAGGTCAGGCTGACAGGCCTGTAGTTCCCCGGATCCTCCTTCTGGCCCTTCTTGTAGATGGGTGTCACACTGGCCAGCCTCCAGTCATCCGGGACCTCCCCCGTTAACCAGGACTGCTGATAAATGATGGAGAGCGGCTTGGCTATCTTCTCTGCCCGCTCTCTCAGCACTCTCGGGTGGATCCCATCCGGCCCCATAGACTTGTGAGCATCCAGATGACGTAGCAGGTCGTTGACCGCTTCCTCTTGGATTATGGGGGGTTCATCCTGCTCGCCATCCCTGTCCTCCAGCTCAGGGGGCCGAGTACCCTGAGGGTAACTAGTCTGCCTGCTAAAGACTGAGGCAAAGAAGGCATTAAGTACCTCAGCCTTTTCCTCATCCTCGGTGACAATGTTCCCCCCCGCATCCAATAAAGGATGGAGATTCTCCCTGGCTCTCTTCTTGTCATTAATGTATTTGTAATACATTAATGTATTACATTAATGTATTACATTACACCATCTTGTCCAGTCCAGTTTGGGACTGAGGTTTTCCAGCCAAGCCCTCAAATAGAGATTGCTGGGGCAATTAATGTGACCTCTAGGACCAGCAGGACTATGCTCACACCAAGCATTGCAAATCCAGGGAATCCAGTATTATGGTTCAAAGAGATCCCCATGAGCCAAGGTCAGAAAGGCAGTGGTGTGATAGAGCACCTGAAGCATCTGACCATTTTCATTTGGCAAAGCTGTTGGAGATACTCATACCCCCATGTTCAGAAAATGACTTTAGGTTAATCCAGGACTTCAAGGACTAACCCATTCCACTCACAACCGCATGGTTATTGTGAGTGCCACCACAAGGCAGGAACAGTTCCTTCCTTGGCCACAGCTCCCTGCAGTTGTCTGAGCCATTGCATGTTGGATTCGTCTCGCTAACCTTAGGCATCCCTTCACCCTTCTTTAGGTGAAACCCTTTTGGCTTAGGTGGAGCCCATCTCCTTTGCAGAGGCTCCACCAGGGCAGCTTTCCCAGTTCCAGATGTCTCTCTTCTCCTCAACCCTACAGCAGATTTTTAGCCACACATTCGGACTTGACCTCTTCCCTTCCCTGCCTGCCCTTATACGTGGCACTAGGAGGGAGCAATTTGGAGCCTGCTGCCACTGAGACCCTGATCTCCAACCTCCAAGTGGCCTCCAGAGCCTCTCTCCCCCTCACTCCCCACTGCTGCTGGGACCCACTTTGACCAGGATGGCTGCCTCCTTCCTGAAATGTCCTTGGAGCCTGCCCAGGTCCCTTTGTGATGCCAGTCAAGTTTATACTTCATCTTTTACCAGAAATTCAGCCTTCCACACACAGATGCTCAAACCTCCCACATCCATGGCCTTCCTCTTCCTTTCTCCTGACAATCCCCTCCCTGAAGGTGTAACCTCGGTCCACAAGTGACCCATCACCACCTTTGGGACCATTCCCTGCCTGCTGGGCTGATGCTCTCAGGCCGGAAGTCTTCCCTGCTTTGGAGGAGCAGCATCAGGGTAAGACTGCTCCATGGTGTCCCAGAGGCCATCACCAACAGGTACTTCCACCTCTCCAGGCTCCCCTCATCCAGTGAGCCCAGCTGCAAGAGGCGGCACTCCCTGCAAGGATCATGAAGTGTATATGAGTACAGTTGCTGGCCACAAGGCAGGAAATTACATATCTGGCACTTGGCACAGGAAACCCCAAGCTCCCTTCCCTGTCTGTACTTTTACCTGTGTTCGTTTGCCTTGCAGGCACAGATCTGGTTCTGCACTTGGCCGAGCTGCATGAATTCCCCTTTGGGGACCTGCCTCCAGCAGTGGAAAACTGGCTGATGTCCTCCCCCTGCGGCTCAGCACTCCTTCTCTCTGCTGCCCACACTACTGCCAGGCTCAGCACACACCATGCCAGGGCTCTTCTTGCTCAAGGACAGGCTCTTGGTGTGTTTACTGCTTTATCCCACACTGGTGCTGCTCTCTGTTACAAGCATGCACCTGCTGACAGCTGTTTGCACGCACTGAGTCTTTGCTGTACAAAGTTCCACACACCATCAATAAAAGCTGCTGGCTGAACCACTGCAGAAGTCACCAGCACCGGTATCTCTGCCTTTCAGAGGTGAGACCAAGGAACAGAAGGACCTGTGGCTCCAGGTCTTCCTCTGTTTTCATCCCTGTCTGTGATTTCCAGGGTGCTAGGGTCATAGCACACTTTTCCCTTCTCCCTAGTTTTCAAGAGTGCAGAAAAACCCAGATTGAGAGCGACCATCAGTTCACATTGTCTGATCGTCTGCATAGACATGGCATTAACACTCACAAGACAACCTTGCATGAGCCTATACCCTGTGTGGGACTCAGAGGTCTCCAGAAAGACATCCAAACTGTGTTTAAAGAGGATGGAGACCAAGCACTTGCTTCACCTTTTGGCCACGCACACCAGTAGTTCATTAAGTCACAGCTAAAATATTGCAACTAATTTCTTTTTTCATTTCAGTTTCAACTTCAGCTTCAGCTCCCAGCTGCTTGCTCTTGCTTGCCCTTCTGCAGCACCAGAGTCCTCCTCCCAGTGAAAGCGCACAGAGGTGGCAGCTGAGCTACTGCACAGGTCAGAAGGAATTAAGTCCCAGGCAAGAGCCTGGTCAGCCTCACCTAGCTGCACGGTGCGAGCAAATCAGGCTCAGGGCAGAAGCAAGACAGAGGCCAGCGCTGATGCAGGCAGAAAGGACCTTCCTCTAGGACAGGCAGCTCCTGCTGACACCAACACTCAAGCAAGAGCAACTGGGGATAGCCCACAATGTTGGAATTTCTCCTTGCCATCTGCTCAGTCCAGCCCTGATCTGCACCCAAAGATGAAATCATCTCCCCGTGTCTCCTGGCTTACACAAATGCTGCTGCCCAGCCAGTGCGGCTCACACCACCGCTCCCTGCTTTCCCTGCAGCAAATCGTCTGCAAACTGCACTGGGGGTTGCTGCTGCACAGCAGCAGGAGCATGTCCTGAGTTTTATGTCCACTCTGACACGCGAGTCCCAAGCCAGGAGCTCTGCAAACATGAACAAGTTCAGCAGTGTTTCTTTCTAACCACAGCTTCCTGATGTAGTAGCTCTGTTTTAAAGGACTGAAGTTTTAGTTTTGCTTGGGGTGCAAGTGATAGAGTAACAGTTGAAAATTAAGCAACACAAGGAAATTGCCCCATGCCCAGAGGCTCCTGAGCAAGTCCTGGCCTCCGGAGGCCTGAGAAGACAACAAACCTCAGTGACCACCACTGACAAAATGATCTACAGGAGCACAGCTCCCCACCTGCTCCAAGCCTGCAGGTGCTGGGGAACTTCAGGGCAGCAATCACAGCCCACAGACAGGCCCTGATAAAGTCCTGGGCACCATCCCCTCATCTGCTGGAACTGCAAAATAACGAGAGGTGACATGGTGGTGGTGCAGTTTTGTTGCTCCCAGCACATTTACCAGACCTACCAGGAGGAGGCACCAAGGGGCTCAGAGCCCTCTGGACCACCATAAGGAGAGCCCCACCACAGTGGCAACATATCATGGATATTTTCCACAGGGGGTCAGAATCTTGATTTGCCCAGGAACAGGCCAGCATGATGGTTACATTATACTGGCCGTAGTTTTCAGCTAAGTCCCAAGGCAGGTCTAGATGAGCAGTAGGAAGCTCTCAATGGGAAGCCTGGACCCCCCACTGAGCCAATCTTGCCCTCACTCATGGTCTTCCCAGGGCATCAAGCTCTGCTGCTCGCTCCCTCCTGTGCCAGCAGCATGCAGCAGCCCCTTCCCCTCCTGCACCATGCCTCATGATGCCTATCGGGGTCTTCTGGCTTTTGCCATCGGTCAGAAAACAAAGGCATTTGGCCCGAATAAGTTTTGCATCGGATGCTGTGCTCAGCAGCCGGCTCTCATCCCAGCTTTGTGAATTTTTGGAACCACTCATGCATTTGGCCTCCAAACATCCCACGTCAGAGTATCCCACAGCTTAACTCTGGACAAGTGAGGAAACCATCCTGCGGCCCCCAAGAACTTCCTTTTTTTGCTTTTAGTTTGATGCTTGTCTGGTCGAAGGGTTCTGTCCTCTCTTTACCACGCAGTGTGAGCCCAGTACAAGGTACAGCCTTCCCACACAAACCTCTCACCCTTTGCTCTTGTCCCCACCAACTGATGCCTGTCACGCGGCCACCACGACCCATCACAAGCCTTCACCAAATCTTTGCTTTGGTGATGCTCATACCACTCTCCACTCACAGTGACAAATAATACAGTGATGCCCGAACTGGGGTGCAGATCCTGTGGGACCATGATGGGGATGGCCCCCCCAACTCCTCAGGGTGCACCCCCGCAGCCCCCTGCCCCTGCTCACCTCCTCCAGGCTGTTGGCAGTGGCCTTGCAGCGGCCCATGTGGCTGGCAAAGGTAGAGGTGGTGGGTGAGCTGAGGTCCTCCTGTGCCAGCTGCACGAAGTTGCGCACGGAGATGAGGGCCGCCATGGCGCCACAGTGAGGTGGCACCAGGAAGGGGAACTGCTGGCAGGAGCCGCGGGCGGCCCCGCACTGGGCA